GCTGTAATTTCTCTTCTTGTTTCTTTTCTTTTTCATCCAACAACTGCTGTAATCTCTCTTCTTGTTTCTTTTCTTTTTCCTCCAACAACTGCTGTAATCTCTCTTCTTGTTTCTTTTCTCGTTCTTCTTGTTTCTTTTCTAGTTCCTCTTGTTTCTTTTCTTGTTTATTTTCTCGTTCTTCTTGTTTTTTTGCTGTGTTTGTATTGCTGCCATCAAATCTGCTAAGCAGTAGTTTGATTTGCTGCCTCTCGTTTCCACCTTCCTTTTTCTTATCCCACTCTCTGACATCAATTTGTTACGTCTCTATTCGTTTGTTAATTTTCCGTAGAAATTATTTCCGAAAAACTTCAGCAATTCAAGTCCTTCCTTAAATAAATATAGTTTATTCTTTCTCAATACAACTATAATTCACAACGAACGACTTGATTCAATTGTCCGTCTCTATATCTGTCTGCAATTCAATTCCGATTTTAATTCGTCTCACGTTAACCGGCGCACTTATGTACAGGAATAGAGGGCGCCTAGCACATACTGAATTATTCGTGATGTTGCCCGATCCTTCGAGAATATCATGACGTGTTACCAGAGTCACGTGACTACCGCTGTCGTAACAATATAATAGAAAATGGAGAAACAACAAGTTTGATCAAACAAATCTAAGCCACTTGTTTATGTGTGATTTCCTGATAGTGTCTTAGACAGTCTGAAAGTTCTAGTATTTTAGATAATAGTAATCAGTAAGTCATTCATTTATTATATTTAGTTGTAGGGCTATTATTGGTTATAATATGTATGATTTGTAAAGTGAAACAGTAAGTGTCCTCCAGAACATTGAAAGAAGTTATGTATTCCATATTTTCACAAGTTTTGTGTTCGTTTGCCAATAATCAATGGCTATATAGAAAATGGACGGACATATAGTAAGTCATTCATTTACTATTTTTAGTACAGATGTTAAAATATGTAAAATAATGATTTTAACATAATTAAATCTAGACATTGATGACATGTAGAAGTGCTGTCACAGTATATTTGTTAAAATCCTATGGACAATTGTTAAAATAATAGTAATTAAGTATATACATATGTGAAAGTCCACCTTTGTAAAACTCGTGCAAGATAAAGTAAATGTGTAAAATATTTTGTCAAGTTATAAAGTCAAATTAATGAAAGTTTCTGTTTCGTGGATGTCGTAGAAATGCGTTCAAATTTTTTAAAACGGACAGTCATTAAAATAATGGTAATTAATTGATGTTTTCATGTAAATACGGCCTTAATAGACGTGAATGTAGACCATAGTGGAAGATCATTAAACACTTGATTGAGTAAGATATCATTCTTTTAGGACAGGAAACGTAAATAAAAATTTAATGATAAGCATCCTTTCTGAGGATGAATTAATTACAAATGAGTTAATTATAAATGATATAATTAATTAGTTTGTCAGTTTGCCCCTGAAGAAGAAAGGTCCACTTTTCGAAAGTGCTCGGGTTATAGGGTTTTATTCATAATTAATTAGTGTTAAGCATCCTTTTTGGACGATTTAATTATAAATGATTTAATTGATTAACGAATTAGTGATTAATTATAGACATGTAGTCATGGCAGCCTAGTAATTCATCCTCTACTATTACGTAATCATCCATTATAGCCACCTGTCATGGTGATCTAACGACGCACCCTCTGGTGACAAAATGTGGTACTTTAACAACATGGCTGCCTGTCATGTCGGCTTTGCAACGTGTCCGTAACAACACGCCCTCTGGTGCTTTGTTTTACATCATGGCCGTTTGTCATGGCAGCCTAACATTTTGGAACTATGACATCATCAGTCAGCGTGAGGCAGCATCCTTCGGATACGGGAGTGCCAACCTAACTACTAATGTACTTTCTCAAATTAATTTGGGTCCTCTTGCTATATGTCTATACATATAAAATATTCGTCCTAGACAAACAACCATTGTATGTCATAGACCCAAGATGCCGCTAATGTTTATTTGTATGCTTCTTTCTTCAGTCTAGGTGTGTGTTACGTATATTCTTAATATTGTTACGACAGCTGAAGTCAAGTGACATGGTAACACGTGATGAGTTTCTAGAAGGATCATGAAGGCTCGAGTGTTTGCCAGACGCCCTCTATTTTAATATATAAGCCCGGCAAATAAAGTGACTGCATAGATAATTGCAGATAGACAGATATAGAGAGAGATAATTGAGTCAAGGGAGCGGTAGTGACCATAAGTAAAGTGCGTGAATCGTTGTGAATTATAGCGTGTGTTTAGGTTAAAGTGATTGTGGAAATTCTGTGTATTGCAAAGTTGTATTGAGAAAGTATAAACTAGTTTTATTTCAGAAAGGGCTTGTATCGCTGAAGTTCCTCGGGAAGAATTTTTACGGGAAATTAACAAACGACCAGAGACGTAACAATATTATGACAATGGTGTGAATGTTCTCTTGTTTTGTGCAGTGCTAAAATTAGCTTTTCATACGTCAGTATTCTTTATTAATGCTAATTTTTAAGTAAGCGATATGCAGTGATGTTTTAATTCTAAATGCCGTAGATAGAGGGATGGGAAGCTTTCCAGCTTTCAACAAGCATAGATTATAAGGGAAACAAATACATTTATTAAAAAAATGAATCAATTTTAATCCGTTGTTTTTCTATAGGAACACTGAATCAAACATCCAGAGATTGATTAATTCAAATGGCAAATAAACCAACTAAATAAGTTAAATCCTTTCAGTGTTTCAACAATCTTCCTTCGTCTAAAGGTCAGCTACGAAAGTGAAGGTGTTATGCTTAATATTACTAAAGACCATATTTATGAATAGTGTCCATGTAGTAAACATTAGTTCAGACTCTATTTAATACAATATTTAGAAAGGTTGCAAAGTAGATTCATAGTACAGTGTGTGTAATTAATAGCAAAGTCACATTATACTATCTGTTGTGTCCACCGAGGAGAATCAAACCCCTGATTTCAATGTTGTATTGGGACTACAATACAGTGTTAATAAAATAGTCACTTTGAGCCTAGAATTATATAAATTTTACAATAAAATTATATAAATAACAATGTATATGACATACAAATATTACCCATGTTAATATCTAGATATATTGACCTGACATAGCTGAGTGTTTTGGGCGCTAGACTCGCAAGCTATAGAACACGGGATTGAAATTCCCGCAGTTTCAGCCCTGGGAGAGATATAACATGACGGTCAATCTCATTGTATTTTGGTAAAGAGTGGCGTGGGTGGTGTTGACTAGCTGCCTTCCCTCTAGTCTGTTATTTCAAAATTCGAGACTGCTAGTGCAGATAGTCCTCGAGTAGCTTTGCACAAAATTAAACAAACAAACAATATTGATATAAGGCCTCACTATCGCCAACTCTAGTTCCATCCACATTTGATCTCGCGAAACTTGACGAACTTTAATATACTCTGTTTGACTGATAATAATCGACCAATCATGGCTGCCATAAGATATCCTATCGCCATTTTCGCTAGAACAATAAGAGTTTGTGCTGTAGTTTACCTAGCGAAGTTGTACAGCGATTCTTATATGAAAAGTTTTATTCGTCAAGTTTTTACACTGATGTATACAATTTACGAATTGAATCAATGGGGGAGGTGGCTAGACAAATACCCTTGGATCCGCCACTGGTAACGGACTGTCACGTTATCTTAATACAATAAAACCATTATCTACACTTGAACTTTACGCTAGATTGCAAGACTAACAGTACAAAGGATAGAAAAAAGTTCAATTCTATGCGTTAAACTGACAATAGCTGCCAAATCTTTTTATGCGGCTTTATATGTAATTGCACTGTACAAAGTTTTTTTGATATAAAATCACTGCAGTGGTCAAATTTTACCAAGAACGTCATTGTTAAACTCTTATAAAAAATATATAACTGAAATTTCAAGAAACAAAAAATATTTAACATATATCTTAGGACAACAACATGGTCGGTTCTTCTTCATCAGAAAAATTCTGTTACTCGCCATTTTGGGTAAGTCAATCTACTTTAATTATAAAAAGTAGAAGAAAAATGTATTTATTTCAATTGTCGTATGTTCTATGAACGACCAACCAAAATGATTTTACACCCAGCTATAAAGTAAGAGCTAATCTGAGAGTGGCCTAGTAAATAGTGTATTGGGCTGGTGATTCCAGGGTCTCTGGTTCAAGACTTGGTTCTATTAAACAAGCTTCGCAATTGCACTTGTTGTTGCTTTATAATGGTAATAGTTAATCCTGCTATTCTATTAAGAAGGCCCGCTTCAAGCTACGAGTGCTATCAACTCTAGACCGCAATTCAAAATTATAGGTGAATAAGGTGTCTTTGCGGATGAATAATAACAATAGTATCTTGCATACTGCCACACGTAAACATTGTGAAACAGTGGCATTGTGAAAATTGTTTAGGTTCTCATAAGCCGAACGAGTGACTTCGATATTTATAGCCCCTCCCCCAGTGGCACAGCGGTATGTCTGCGGACTTACAACGCTAGAAACCGGGTTTCGATACCAGTGGTGGGCAGAGCACAGATAGCCCTTGTGTAGCTTTGTGCATAATTAAAAGCAAACAAACAAACAATCGACATTTATTAAAAGTATGTTTTTGAACGGATTTATAATTAGCACTCCGGATTTCAAAAAGCGATAACATTTTAAAACGAAAAAGGAATATGTAATACAAAATTAATGTCTTCGTTAGAGCGCTTTAATGTTCTAATGTGATATAAAAATATGTCACACAAAATTTAAGTTTGTTTGATGTTAAGCGCAAAGCTATCTAAACCTGATTTTTAGCATTATAAGCCTTACCGTTCAACCACTGGGGAACAATACAAAATTAACGTTTTGGTTTGAGCACTTGAATGTTCTAGTATGAAATAGAAATGCGTAATTAAAAATCAATATCTTGGTCAGAGAATTGAATGTTCTAATGTGAAATAGAAATATGTAATACACAATAAATGTCTTGGTTAGAGCACTCGAATGTTCTAATACCAATTTAATGCATGTTGTAAAACTAGTATGAGCAACATGCAGAGGTAGCCATTTTAAGAAATTAGTATCCATAGTATGCTGGAAATAATTTTTGGTTTTGGTTTCAGATATAGACAAAATGGAATTGATGAATACATAATGATTGCATTTTTTTTCGAAATATAGTTTGTTGTAATACAGATATTCAAATAGCATTTATTTTATAAATGAATCTAGCTTTACACACACACATATATATATATATATATATGTATATCTTTACATATATACACACACATATATATACATGTATATAAGTACTTCAAATTACTTAAAGTGCTGTGCAACACATTATCCTCGTGGTGGGCGTAGCACAGATTGCCCATTGTGTAGCTTTGTGTTTAACTTCAAACAAACAAACCTTTGAGGTATTTCAACATTTGACGCCAGTTATAAGGAAAATATCCAATTCTTATTCATCATAAAATTATCGTGTACGGTGGTTTCAATTAAAGTTCTATATGGAATTGCGAAGAAATTCTGGTGCTGTCACGAAATCTGGGGCATAAATCCCTGGGGGATGGAGGTATATATCCTCCCAGTTTTCATAGAGTGGGGAATGACCAATAATATCCTCCCAGATATTATTGGTGCAAAAACATAATAGATTAACAATAAAAAATATATAAGGGGCCTATAATTTGACGAATATGCTGATAAGAATCGCTAGATTTTCATTATACAAGTAATCCAGACAAAGAGTCGATTTGGAACAGATTGTTAGATTGCTACACAATGGGCTACCTGTGTTGTGCCCATCACAAGTATCGAAATCCGAATTTTAGCGTTTTAACTCCGCAGACTTACCGCTGAGCCATTAAAGGGGGGGGGATTTGAACAGATGCTATGCAACTCTTAAAATCTTTTTAAAGACTTTTCTTTAGATTATGTGTGTGTGTAATTTATCAAAGCCACATCAGGCTATCTGCTGTGTCCACCGAGGGGAATCGAACCTCTGATTATAGCGTTGTAACTCCGCAGACTTACCGCTGTCCCACCGGGAGACTTTAAATTATTATGATAACCATCCACATTGTCTCTAAAAATGTAATATTTGTGACTTTGACGAAATTTCAGAGATTACAGTTCACGGTTATTCTTAGCAGTTACTATCACCCCTACCTAAACCTTTCTGTTATATTTCACCTTCGTTCATTGATAACAAAATTAATAACATAACAATGGTATCATAGTACCATTAGCTCCATAAGCTGTACATTGTTTAACAATCTCGCTTTACAAATATCCTTCGTCACAAATGTCTGTCAACTATTCTCCAGCTATAAGTTCATCTGTGGATACATTGCACTGTCAAATGATCAGAAATTCGCCGTGAACTAAATACATATACGTTGTACATTGTGCTCGACTCGCATCTGCATTAATTCACAACCCCACTAGCATATACAATTTGTTATTATAAAGCACGACTAATCCTCGGTATTTATACATGTCAAAACAGTAACTATATTTATTTGATAAATATAAGTCTGTTTTTGCCATAACTTAATACAATTATATCAAAATGTATTTATTCAGGCAAAAGGCATTTACTAAGTACTGAAATAAAATTTTTAAATAGATGTCAATTTTTTATCAGTTCAAAAACTTATTTTACTTTTATGTAAACCACAGGACCTACAAGTAACATGGTATACTAACCAGCCTGACTTTACACCATGTTTCCATAATTCTATCTTAATTTGGATGCCTTGTATCTTCCTGTGGTTATTGATTCCTGTGGAAGTGACAAGAACCAAAAACCTTACGGGCCCTCCGTTACCATGGACATTGCTCACTATTAGTAGACTAGTAAGTAGTTCATTTTTTCATGTACATTTGTATGTGTTACTACACATACTAAATTATAACAAAAACATATTGCAACTAGAAACACAGTAGATGAGCTTTCTTATGATTTGTTAAAATTATTATCCCATGATTTTTAGTAAGAGAAATATAATGAAAGAATATTATCTTAAGAGTGTGACTAAACCAAGATAATGATTTTATATACTCTTCCGCTTGAAACCCATAGTATAATAGATGACTAACAAACGTAAGTTTAAGAAACCTTTTAACTAAAATACAATCACGTTTGCAAAACCTCATTAACATTTTTTTTAAGTGATTAACTTATATTCTCTAGCTCCTCTCCTTGGGACTTGTTGTACTGACCTCAACAGAACTGATACTCAAAATAAAGCTCCAAAAAGAGGGAGAAGCAGTTTATGGGGTAGAGTTCTGCTCAGCATACACCAAGATTATTACATTTGTAAGAAAATTTATATTTGTTGACTTAATACACTGAATGTAGCTTAAATGTTTTTATTACATAGACGTAGAAAAATAGGGGAGGCTGAAGGCTAAGCCCTCCCCAAGTTTTAAAGGCAATGCCTATGCTTCAAAATCTAGGAAATGGCAAAAATTAAAACTGGCACAGGCCCTTTAGTCTCCCTTGTACCTACATTTATGTATTAGTAGTACACTGTTCCTTAGCTCTGCCTAATTGAAGCATGATGCTAAAATACTGGCACTAGTATAGATTTTATCAGCGTTTATTGTATTTAGATTTCCAGATCATTCTGTAACATCAAAGTCGCTGTACTTTAGTGTTTCATCTTCAATATTTAATATATTAAGATGGTTTGGTAACATTCTAATGCTCCCAAAATAAATAGAAAATTGCTATACTATAAGGGAGCATGTTAGTTTTGAATAAATCATTGTTATTTTTAGGAGTATGAGAAACGTAACATCTAGGCACAACCTTACATATTTGAATTACATAATATGCTAATTTCATGATAGTCGTTATTTAAAGTTTAAATAATCGTTTTCATTTGAAAAACTTTCTTTTGGTGAATTTTAGTAAGATTATACTAATGTTTTCAAAACAGTATCATCTCAGGTTCTTTACTTGTAATTAAATAAATCAATACAACAAATTTTCTTAAATTATTCAGATTTATCGAACTGTTTAAATAGTGTTATATTGTTCACAAGGTCGTTTTCCTGATTGGTATGTAACTTATCTTTTGACTCTCGTAACAAATATGATAATAAGATATCATAACAAATGTTATTTGTTTTTCTATACATGTTTGAACACATATCTCAGAATCTACGAAACAGATAACAAACAGACAACATCTATTATGACATAACAAAAAATATGGTACAATCCTAGAAATTTTTATGACGAAATACTCTAAGTAACAGTGCAGAATATACATGTGTGCGTGTGTATGCTCGTAAGTCACACTTTGTTTCCTATTTAGTAATGTCCAACATTTGCAATAAATATAAATTTATTTATTTTACTTGTACTGCAAATAATAACTTGTAACTCTATGACATGATATGATGTTCTCAAGTTAAATATCATTAGGTCGGTCTCCTTTATAATGGGAGGATCGACAGGATAAATAACGAAGTAATACTGAGTTAACTAAACTGATTGTGTTTAATCAAATACAAACATACTGGACACAATGTATAATATATAATGACAACAATATTTATATACTAGTTCTGCATACTTGTGTTGGACACCCGACGATCACCTTTCACTGAACTCGTGAATTGGTCATCTAGCTTTCTTCCCTCAAGATGTCTTTGGGTCAACCAGCTCAATTAAGGTCCTGTGTAATAATGTTTAAATCCCATGTTTCTAGCTTAACAGGAAACGTCAGATTTGCCCATATTGACATAGAGGAAGCATACTTACCTGTTCAGCTACTTGAAAGCTCGGCTCCTCCAGAGTGACAAGGTGGTGGTAGCCACTACTCTCTCCATAACAGATATGTTCAGTGCTCCAGTGAAGCTTTAAACTTCATAAAGCCTACCACTGTTGGCAGAGGCTGCTTGGCTCCAGGTGACATCAGGGCCAACTTGTGATAGATGCTGTGAGCTCTTCAATGTCCTATGCATTGTATAGCAACATATCCTTGTCTATAGACTCTGCTACATTGAATGTCAGGGTGGTGAGAGGAATCTGGAGACTGAGAGCATAATCTTTTCTTTTGCTGTAGAAAAAGTCCTGGACGTAACAGTCATCATCAAATAGGCAATCCATCATGTAATTTAAAGAATATGTTAGGATTCAGCAACAAAGCAGAATAACACAAGAGATAACTCGGGTTAGGTCCCCCAACACTTAGTTTTGACCATTAAGCCCACTAATACTTACATTATCTCTCCTTAGTGGCTCACTTCCAGTTACAAGTTTAGTACCTGTTTTTAATGTGACTCACAATGCTTTCACCAGGTGGGTGTTTGTTTCCCCATCTAAGGATCACACTCACAGCCTACATTTTCAGGTGTTATAACTGCGCTTGTACTGGAATAATATCAATAAAATATTTAGTAAACTGTGTAGTTGTTTAAAATATTTCAATGTATATGACTGAAAATATGCTAACAAAATACAACACTGGATACATGAAGTTCATATTTGTTATAATATCTAAGCTACTGCCTGTAAATTCCGTTTACTACTATAATTTCACGCACTCATAAATAGTTCAATTTGATCTAATTGAAATATTTATTGAAACATTCTGTCACCAGTATTAATGGAAATAACAGATACATTATATCTTCAAATAATACTTTCCAAGGCAGTACTCACAATTAACTGTATATTATTATGGTGACCTTAATGAGATACTTTACATCTAGGAGCTATGGAAATCAATTCGTTTTTATTTTAAGGTATCACAAAAAGTAAGCATTGGTAGAATTCGACCAAACTAAGACTTTTCACCTAACATTTTACCTGCCAGGGTTAATAATACTTGTGCTGTTATGACTGTATCTTTGTATACACTCAGAGGAAACACAACTCCATCACTGCATGTACAGTTACTATCTGTAACATCTCTAGGAGAACCAGGCAGTATGCCCCAGAGATTTCTCGATACTAAATTAAATCAAGAGAGAGTGATTTTCTTGAAACATCGAATGATATTTTCATCAGAAAATTTTAATCAGTGGCTCTGAAAGCAGGGGTCGCAATGTTGTTTTAGTCACTGATTTTTCATTTCTGTGGGACGTGAAAGTATCAAGAAAAAGTTTCGTCTTTCGTTTTTTTAAGGTAAGTTTATTATTGTCATCATTGGCTATTTATATACATTACAGTTTAAGTGAGTCGAACATTTTGGAGGGAACAGACTGTATTACAGAGAAGAAAGAGAAAATGACCAAAAATGTTTGAGAAACACTGTACTAGACATTAAATCTACCAGCTCCAGCTGTTCTAGCTTTATAATGATCATCTAGTCCCACTAATCCCACCCAACTATTAAATGAAAATCACTTGGAAGTGGCTTGGTTAACTATTAACAATGTCTTCAACCTACAACCCCAGCATTTTCTCATTTGTTTCTTTTTGGATACCAGATAACTACTTTCAGCTATTTCTTTCTAGTTGAGTGAGATAGTATTTTCCTCTGGTTCATAGGTCACAACCCCCAACATCAATTATATCTCATGAGGAACATCAGGTGAAACTGATTGATTTTCCACAGTTCATCTATGCAAGTTTAGTAATGACAATTTTCATTCAGCAAGTTATATTCCTGGCACAGTTGGTGATCCCAATTGCCTGAAATTCTACAGAAAATGACCAAGGTTTCCCTCTGTCATACGTCTGAACATTTGGAGCAAAATCTGATTGCCCTCACTCATACAATCATCTCCCTTTCCATTAATTAGCCACTGTCTGGCTGAAATGCTGCTAACATTACATGTACATGGTAGTAGGCATACTACAAGACTGGCTTTTGAACAAGTGGTGAGCTCCTGTTCTAGGGTAGCAAAGCAGTTCGTTCTGAACTCTTTGTGACTACAGGTTTCTTTGTGATCCATGGTCGCCTTGGCAGAGTACCTCTCAGCTTGAATATATTAAGCGAGTTAATTAGGAATTGATGTAGATACGATCCGCTGGGAAGCTAGCTAGCTTTGTCCTTGGTTTTCCACGACGAATATATGTCCCATGAGAATCCACTGAAGTTAAATGATTAGTAACGTTCGAAATTTAT